AAACAAATCCAAGGGATTTAGTGTTTTAACGCCATGGACAGTCAAAGAAGACATAACTTGTGCAATGCCAAAATAAAAGTATCGACAGGCAGTAGGATAGTTAGGATTTAACCTTATAATAAATATGTATAATGTAATATATAGATAAAGCAATCTCTATATAGAAAATGAACGTGGATGTGTATTTATACATTCCAAAAAAAAAAACATTCGAAAAGAATACAAATTTAGTTATGTTTTAATTTGTTGATGACAAAATCGATATTTGTGCCAATGTAAACAATATTGAAAGATCTTATTATAACATTAATAAGATCACATTTACTAATAAGTTTGTTTAAAGGTTCGATGAGTTTACACGGATCACATAGTGATTTCTGCGCTTTTAGTACAATATAAGCGTAAAATTTAGGATGTGAAATACCGTTTTTAATAAGTTTCCTATAAGTTTTCTACAGGTACAGTCAAATTTACTAATCAAATCTTTGTATCTATGAAAAAATTTAGTAAACGTTTTAAGTAAAAAGTTATGGTAACGAAATCCCTGACTTCATAATTTACCAGTGATGTATTGATTACGTTCGTTAAAATCTATGACATCACTACACACACGGACATAAGGAACGAGTTGGGATATATACACACCGTATGATGGAGCCAATGGAACATCGCCGTCTAAAAAAGAAAAATATAACAATAGGGAATGAAAAATCGTCTCTTTGTTAGACATCAGCGTAAATCAAATCTGGACATTAAAAATACCATCTAATACAGGAAAAAAGAGACACCGATTACTTAAGATCAAGAAATTGTCTTTAAATGTTATATAAATCACAAAGACAAAGTTTCAATAGTGTACGGAAACTTATGTATTCATATGTACGACAGCTTACATTTTACAACCTCTCTCCGCTTCAGCTAGTACCAATATCCGGTGTCGCTCCCATACGGTGGTCCGGCTATAACAACAAGATACTGTATTAAGCCTGTGTCGCTAATCTAGGCCTATGTGCATCTTCAACAATGGACACTCTCCAACATTGTAGACTTGGATATAATTCATGAAAAAATCTCTTTTTCGTTGATCTAAAATTGCTGATATTTTTTTCCTATTTATATCTCTATCTTCTTTTGTTTTTGCCAAAAACACGAACAAGGGTAAACAAAATCGTCATTTAAAGGCAATCAGTCCTATAAAGAATCTACCAACATGGAATCACTATAGAAAAAGGTGTGTTGAATAGTATTTCAATTTTTTCCTTGCAACAGGCCACTTACTAACACCTCAAGGAGATTTTGCAAGGGTTCGTTAACATGTTCAGCGAGGCACTTACTATACACGAGACAGCGGAATTTACGTCCGACGTGGCTGCGCATTTATACATCCACATTTTTCCAAACGGTTGGCCCTCTTTAGCATGGGTTTGACTGCCGGATGGAATAATTCCAGGTGGCCATATTTCTATACCTCAGTCAAACTTCGGGGTTCATGCTAAAAGAAACCAGTATATGTATATTTATATCTTACCTCCTATACATTTCTAGGAATATCATTGGTTAAAAGCTACCGTTTGGAGACCGTGTATATTTCATATGGGGTTAGTAGGCGGGGCTTATTCTAATACACGGTTAGTAGTGGTGTTACGTCCCTTTATAAAAACAACACGGCGTTGAGAAAAATTTGAAACGTTTCTGTTTTACTGATCACAATGGCTGATAACAGTTTTTTTCTATGTAAAACAGTATTGAAGAAATTGACCAAAATATTTTGATATGTCAATCAAAGGCAATAACTCATATAAAAGTCAACCAACGATGTCCGTTATTACAGTTTATTTGTAGATCGTATTGGTTGTTTATTTTGCTTTGACTTTTTCTGTAGTTTTTATCGTTTTCAAGTTGTCAGATGCCAAAAACTGCAATTTTTGTGATGTAACTTTTGAAGTAGATACCATAAGGATACTTGTCGTAAAATTTGGTTCCATTCAAATCAGTTCTAGTGTTTCAAAGGGGAATATTTTTTTTCAAAGTTTACTGGACGGACGGACAGACGACAGACACAAAGTGATGACAATATTTCATTCTGGCCCTTGGGTGAACAGTTTCTCTGTCACTTGGAACAGGAGATATATTTTAAATTGAATACCTAATGAAAAGATAATTATTTAACTAAAACTTACCCTTTAGTGGGGTGTTCCTAACCAAGGAAGGCAATACTTACAAAAGAAGAAGTCACTGTTCAGAATATGGTACATGTCACACTTTTAATACCCGATTATAGTATAGAAAATATGAATTAATTTATATTAAGTAGTATATAAATGCTCCTACAGGAAACTCATTATAAATCTCCTGGTAAAATTTGAAGATAAGTTGGTTTTTGCCATGTACATATATTATAAAAAGGATTTTGTTCTTTTTTCTTTTACTACCAAAAACAAATGCGGGATAAAAAAATTAAGGATGCAATTGAAATCTCTGGACAGACCTTTTGATTTTTCTGCTTTATAATCAAACATCAGGCTCACGAATCATGCATATATATTTACTTTCATGATTATCCTTCTGGTAAATTGATTTTATTAAAACATGCAGTCAAGGCCAGGGAAAGGGTATAATCTTGACCTTATCTGCATTCTTTTGGCTAGTGAATTTGTTGCTAGGCTAGTTGGTTTTCTTCTCTTCTAGCCCTGTGGACTAGCGTGCTAAAACAGTTAGTGTCAAAACTTCTACACGAATACGAATTTACCAAGATTTAAAAAATAATGAGTGCCGTTATTCTGTTTTCTTTGTGTGGAATATCTAGGTAAATGTTTTAAAAAATCGACAACATAGATATTGTGCAAATGAGAGTTTTTATAAAGTAGAAATAACCGGAAATCACGAAAATAATATCGCTATGGAAATGAATTATAAGTTCTAAGCTAAGATTTCTAACTTTTACAGTTTGTATTAATGTTGTGCTGTTACACCACTGCCCTATGTTTAGGAGAGGCCGTTGAGCGCTCATACACATGTTTAATCCCGCTACATTCTTTAATGTGCCTGTCCGAAGTCAGGAGCCTGTAATTCAGGTATTGTCGTTGGTAATCATACCATCCTCTTCATTTTTATATTTTGGATAAAACTTTCACAATCTTAAATGGGATTTGGTACGAAACATGTACACAGCTATATCTGACAATTCTTTCTTTTTCGTTTCCCTTTAATGTTGATTTTTTAGTCTGTACTATTGCTGTACTGTTACAAGACTGTCAGGTTAGAGGGGGGTTGATGGCTTGCAACCATATCTTCAGCAAGTAACCTGATATCTAGGTGTCTGAAGCTTACATGGCCTAAAAGGTGTCCGTCGACCGTCGTAAACTTTTTCAACGATCTCCTCCTCTGAAACTAATAAACTATTTTCAACGAAACTTGGCCTGACGGATCCTAAGTATAGTTTTCGCTTTTTTTTATTCCGGTCCGTCAACTAAAATGGCCATCATGGCTTAACATATAATATATGTATTAAAATGCATTAATTGTCTTATATCTTTTTTCCCACCCGGGTAATACTTTGCCAACTCTGGAGAGGACAAAATTATCAAAATGTCAAGATCTACCTACTTCCTATTTTCACTAAAATTATCAGATGTTTCCATCATAAGGAGTTATTGTCCTTAAATTATGTGTTTGTCAATTATCTCAAAAACTATATTAGATAGGAAGGAACAGTTTATGACAAAAATGAAGAACATTCACCATGTACAAAAAAATTCAATGTGACCCAAAACTATTGGACTTGTTACTCCTTGACTTGTTTAAGTGTGTTTGCCTATTATCTCAAAAACTATAGTAAATTGGTAGATGCTTTAACAACAACCATGGTCAGTAATACTACATCTACAAAATACCAATACAACCGAAAACTAGAGGCTCTAAAGAGCCCATGTCGCTCAGCTTGGTCTATGTGCATCTGCATCAATGGACACTCTCCAACATTATTGACTAGATTATTGATCATGAATAAAATCTCTTTTTGTTTATTGAACTTGTATTGCTGATCTTTATTTTTGTTTACAGTTTCTATCCATCTTCTATAGTTTTACCCAAAACACAAAAAGGGTAAAAGTCGTCATTCAAGGGCAATTACTCTTATAGGATTGAACAACTGACAAATTCATCTACATGTATGCTGGCCTATTTGCAGATCTTGTCTTGCTGATCAGTTTTGCTTTTAAAGTTTCTATCTATCTATTATAGTTTTCGCGATAATAGGATAAGACCCAAAACAAATGGTAAAAATTGTCTGCACTAATTTATATAATCTATTTCAGCAATATCAACTCATTAGTAGATCTTGCCTTGTGGATCATTTTGCTGTGTTAAATTTTCTTGATCTATTATAGTTTCAAAATAAAAGTCAACACCAAAAAATGTTTTTAGTTATTGAAGGGCGATAACTCCAATTGGCTGTAATTTAACTTATTTGTAGATCTTGCCTTCCAGATAAATTTTGCATTTAAAGTTTCTATCTATCTATTATAGTTTTCAAGATAATAGGCAAAAACGCAAAAAAAATGTAAAAATGGTTATTAAAGATTAATTACTCCAATCAGGGACCGACCGACTATTTCGGCTATGCAAACTTATTTGTAGATCGTTTTTGCTATGTTTTTGCTATTAAAAGTTTATATTATAATTTTCAAGATAATATGCAAAAATGAAAGAAATAAACTGTTGACATAGCGGTATGCATCGCCAGTCGGCACAAAATTCAGAACAAGACAATCTGATAGACACATAGCAAAAACATAGCACACTTGCTAGAATTAAGCTGCATTATCAGCTGGTACTAAGGCATATTTATTGTATAATTCCTTTAGTTAAGAAAAAAAGGTATTTGTTATGGTATTTTTTCATTTCGTTCACTTTTTCGTTAGTTTGTGGCTTTTCTTTGTAAGCACATAACATAATCAAGTTTAAAACAAAACACATTTTAATTTGACATAAATCTGCCGATAAACATATACATATATATAATAGGAGTAATAGTTGTTAGGGATTGATAAAATGATTTTACTAATCCACTATTGACGAAACGCTTTCAACTGTATAAATTCCTGCACTTGTCTTTTCCCTTTTCTTAGTCCTTGTAAACATTTTAACCAATTCTTTTCTAAATTTTGTCCCAGAAAGACAGTAAAGAAAGAAACTAATTGCATTGTTCAGATACATTAATAAGCTTGAAATGGCTTCTAGAAGATACATGAGAGATGGGTCTGCTTCCATATAAAACGTCTCACAGATGTAATACACTGAAACCGGAAGTGTACAAACGAGGAAGGATATATTCACTGATAGTAACATGGCCGTCATATTTGAATTTCGATTGTGTTGCCGTCTGGAATTTGCTTGATATGCCAAATTCTTAGGCAAAGTGTTTTCTTTGATACTTGAAAACCGCTTGAAAGATTTGATACTTGTCCGAATAATAAGAACATTGCATATCAGCATTATAGTAAATGGAAAAAAGCAATATACAGCAAAGTCTATAAAAGGCCAAGCGGACACCGAAAATGAGTCAAACTGACATATTTCATCTTGAAAATCGGTAGTGAATAGTAAGTGTCCATTGAGCATGATTAAAAGAATGGCGATCGAAACAACAACAAAACGGCTACGTCGCAATGTACAATAATACATTGCTTTCAATGGAAGTTTTACTGATATACACCTATCTATGGTCACAGCAACCAAAATCCATGCCGTAAACTGGAGTGAAAAATATGTCAGAAAAACGTGGATTTTACAATTGAGGCGACCGAATGTTCGAATATCAGTGTCAAAAGCCACTCGTATCCATTGGCGTAAAAGTCCAGTATTGACCACTAGAATATCTCCAAATGATAAAACTGTTAGATAAAACATAGTTGTAGAACGTCTCATAGTTCTTCTCAATAAAACACTTATGGACAAAGTTGATGAAATCATTCCTAAAAGTATTACACACGGTGAAAAATATATCCAAAGTAACTCCGCGTGATATGTATCTATTAAGATCATCATACCTGTTTCGTTTGAAACATTTCGGTATGCTCCAAGACCGTCACTGTTGTCTATTTGCATCTTAAATCCAATTCTAAACACAGCCTGAAAAAAATGATTGCATAGGTTTATTACCTTTAGTCTCTTTTTTCCATGTATGCACATAACATTAGAAAAAGTCGAAAAAAAAACCAAACACTTTTTAATTTGACATAAATCTGCATATAAACACATATACATTGCAAGAGTAATGGTATGGTTTGGTCCGAGTATTATCATAAGAATTTAAGTTTCCCCAACACACTTTAAAAACGTTCTCATGGCATTTCACAACAGTCATTATACTTTATATATATATTTAAAAAGTCTATTTATTACTTCGTTTTAATTTAAGAAGTGAAAAGAATCACATCAATCCTTATCTGATATTCACAGCATATACACACAAAGACTATAAAGTCTGGAATAGTTGTATACTCTCAGCTGCTATATTTTGTTTTTTGTCAACATCATATTAAGATTATTCTTAAGAACAGTTTTAATGGGTAGAAACCACCACCCAATGACGCTTTCCGTAGAACATGAATGTCTACTGTGAACATGTAAATGCTATAATATTTTCTTAATCGGAAAATTTCTGCCCTAGTGAAATGTATTCAGCCTTACTAGAAACATGTTTACAGCTTCCTTCCACAAAACATTGTATTTTCAAAGATTTGTTAAGCAAGGACGACATTACTGTTAGTAGTCTAGGTTACATTGAAATTAAAAATAATTTACTTACTTCCCTCTTGAAAAAGTATCCTTGGTTGTTTATACATGTTTTTTTCACGTTTTACATAACCAAACATCTAAATGGCAATATTTCTTATACCCTGAAGCGCATTTTTTTAATTTACTATTGTGAACAGAGATTACCTAAAAATGTGTCATATCATTGTACTTGATTGTTGATTACTTAAACTCATTATCCATCAACAATAGAAACTGTGAACTTGTGACAAACAACTTTTACAAAAAAAGGACAAAAACATCTGACTGTTGTGAACTGGCTATCAGACGATAAAAATATTAATTAATTCAACCATATTTTCTGGTCTGCATTTAAATTGAATATTTTACAGACAAATTTAAACAAGAAAAAAAACCTCGGATTATTAGACGTATAGAAAATTTGGACTAAAATCGAAAGTCTAGAGCCGTTTTGAAGATTGGGTTGTTTTAGGTATAAATTTTACCTGTACTCAACTTTGCATTTGGGGTAAGGTGAGGTGCAAAAAGGATAATGGAATTATAAAAGTTTATGTTGAGTAGAACCTGTTCTTTAGTTTGTGTTTAAATATTAAAATGCCGAACTGCTGGCGGACAAAAGTTTGTCCCAGAATCTCCATATCTTACAGATCTACGGAATTTTGAAAATGGCCGGAAGACTTCGAACTGATGTAAAAATTAACTTTACCGTCTCGTGTGATGACTATGTTCATAGTATTTACCTCCTAAACACATTTATTGAAATCCATTTTTTCCCTCATATTGATTTGGATTGTTGAATCTTGTCGTTACTTCTAATGCGACAAAAACTGCATAATGAACAAGACATCATCGATTCATTTGCATGGTCTTGCTATTTCATTTTCTTTGCCCAAATTAAAAAAAAAATAAAGAATTCTACTGTTGGTTGAATCATTAATTATAAGTTATACATACATCAAGTTGATATAGAAAGTCTACAACTCAAATGGTATAAACAAAAACCTGTGTATTTTTACGTAAAAGACGAGTCCAACATTATTTTATAAAAAAAATGCCCCCCTCTTTTCTTGTTACGGCGAGTTGCGTCTAGTTTGGGCGGTTTTCATACGATCGTAATATTAAGAAACCTGTAATAGTATATAATAATACATAACATTGAAAATCCTTTTAATTTTACGTAGAATTGATTTGTTGTAATCCTATGTATTCATCATGATAGAGTCAAACAAAAAATAGACCGATTACCGTGCGTAACGTTACAGTGTTTCTTTGTATATATATGCTAATGTTTCATAAAGACTAGTCGGTTATAAGAGTTCATTAATGCTCATGTTACTTATATTGTTATGTTTATAAGTGCCGACTCTAGATAGAATTTACTTACTAACTTGTACTAAGGAATTTTCACAACATACAACTCGGTTTAAACGGCGTCTTCCTCCTATTCCCACTTTTTTAAAATCACTATTCACATGCAAATAACAATAGATGTTTTGATAAATAATTTGTTTTTATAACAATCAAGGTTAATTAAGAATTCATCTGTATTTTTTTAAAAGAAAACATATTTCTTACACTGTTTAAGTATATTATTTTAAAAAATATATATAATAATAATACACTGTTTGTTTGTAATATGTTTTTCTACCAAAGGTGACCCATTCCTGATAACAAACGACACTGAACACAGTTGGGTGTATGCTAATCTTCAGTTCTCAAACGAATCTAACACATAAGCAGCAGCAGATATCATATACTAGTATGGTGAAGGTACATTTTACTCCTGTCCAAGCCTATTCTTCAAACTTTACCCATTTCACGCAATGGTTGACGGCGCAATGTATCCACTGGTACACAGTTCACTTCCAGCCAAGAGCGAACTAATATACACAAGGTTCCTGACTTTACTCAAAGATGTATGTCACCAACACCAACTACAACTTCAGCTGTTTTTTGCACTACACACAATGCATCTGGAGAAAAGCACAATGGACAGGGAATCAGGTTTCATACAAGAAAGACAACAACATTCACCAACTAGTACGCCGTGCTGCTGTCCTTCCACTTGTACCTACTGCTGAGGTCGAAGATATGTTGTTTAATGCCCTAACCGACATTGATCAGATTGATACTAACATCAGCTAAACGCCCTTTGCAGACTATGTAACAAAATACTGATGGGACCATTACACAACACAGGGACTGAGGACTACACATCACCTTGAGGGATGGCAATGCAAGCTGAAGAAATATGTTCAACACCCACATCCAAACATCTTTAAACTTATAAAACTACAGAAACATAAGGAAGCTACGCCCTGACCATAATCCAGTATACAGCCGATGGGAAGAGAGAGAGAGTGGCCCAAAAACGAAAGTATGTCGAAATCAACTACAGATTAGAAGATCTTATGGATAGATAACGCAACCAGGAAGTCGCAACAGTACAGTTTGGTGATGCAGCCTCCACCTTATTCACGTTGAATAGATTAATAAACTTTAATAGACTTACATGTATATACATTGAATTTCTAATGTGTGTGCTACAATGTTTGATTTGTTTTAGTGCTGTTAATTTGTATTTTTTGTTTCATATTATTATGCTTGCTTGAATCTACTGCTGAATTTGTGTTATAAAAGAAATAAAATAATTTACTTATATTTGTTTCCTTTTCTTGCATATTTATTTAAATTAAAAACACAGAATTCATACACATAAAAAAATAACCTATTACCTATCCAAAAAACACTTGTCAATAAAAAGTTGATTAAACAATGTTTATACAGTATAATCCTTTGTTAGCACAAGTTTTCCCCCTATTCCCACATGAAATTTTAACTTTTCTTACCAGATTTATAAAAAGTGGGATTAGGAGGAATGAACCGTTTAAACCACCGGTTTCATTTATTGAAATCAAATTTGATTATAATTAAACACCAGATCATTGTCTCATATTCATCGCTTACATAGATTAATCCAAAATATGATGGAAAAAAAAGAAAAAGAAAAGTGCTCTATAAAATGTACCTTTACCTCCAAAATTTGGAACCCTATTTCTTGTCACGTCTTTGAAGCCCTGCTACATATCTGCATGTGATGTTCAATTCGGATTAATAATATCGTTAATACATAATTTGCTATGTTCTGACAAATGAAATCAAAACTCTGTGTGTTTTAGTTCCTCTTTCAAACATTTTTTTTAAAGTCACGAACTGAGAGCAGAATAAAAAAGGCAAAAAACAATTTCCCCTTTTTTCCCGAAAATCCTGAAAAATGCAATTTTGAACCTTATCTGGAATAATTTTATTCTACAAAGCGTGTATTTCTAAAATTAACTATTATAATGATGTTATTTTTTACATCTTGAAATAAATTTATTTTGAGCTATGAACTTAGCTGTCCTTTCAAAGAAATTTGTCTATTTACAATAATGCATACAAATTTATTTGCTGTAACTCGTTTAAAGCCTTTTTTTGTAACGAAAAAGGAAAGTATGCTAGATACACTTACTGGAAATGTGAAGATTTAAATTTTCTCCTGGACAACATATATGTACGTTTCGACGATAAAGTGTATCGACAAGTAGTAGGTATTCCTATGGGCACTAACTGCGCCCCTTTAATAGCAGATTTATTCCTGTATTGCTATGAAGCTCAGTTTATGACCAAACTCAGTAAAGACACGTCATTGTTACATTTGGTTGATACATTCAACAATACCTTCCGTTATCTAGGTGAAGTTTTTTTCGTTAAATAATCCAGAGTTCTCTAAATATACTACCGAAATTTACCCAATAGAACTTACTTTAACTAAATCTAACATAAACAGCAGTAGTTGTCCTTTTCTAGATTTGGACATTTCAATCGCTAAAGGAAAACTCCATACGAAAATTTACGACAAAAGAGACGATTTTTCATTCCCTATTGTTGATTTTCCTTTTTTAGACGGCGATGTTCCTTTGGCTCCATCAAACGGTGTTTATATATCCCAACTCGTTCGTTATGCTCGTGTGTGAAGTGATGTCATAGATTTTAACGAACGTAATCAATGCATCACTGGTAAATTATTAAGTCAGGGATTTCGTTACCATGAATTACGTAAAACTTTTGCTAAGTTCTTTCATAGATACAAAGATTTGATTAGTAAATTTGGCTGTACCTGTAGAAAATTGATTAAAAACGGTATTTTACATCCTAAATTTTACGGTAATATTGTACTTAAAGCGCGGAAATAACTATGTAATCCGTGTAAACTCATCGAACCTTTAAACAAACTTATTAGTAAAGGTTATCTTATATATACCAATGTTGTAATTAGATCTTTGAATATAGTTT